CTATTAATTTCCAGTATTGTTCAAAGACCCGCTCAACCAGCAGCTGTGTACCCTCCCTTGTACTTTCCATGCCCTCATGGACTATTTATCACCTCAAGGAAAGTTCTGCCCCTGAACAATAAGTCTTGCTTGCAAGACTTTGTTCTGATGTGGCCCGCTTGCAGGCTCCCGCCTTTTCCTGGCAGAATGTCCTCTTCTAGTTAACTTCATTCCACTTGACCAGCTACAATTCCCCCTTTTAGTTTTGCTGCAGCTTTTATTATATAGGATACATAATAAAAGGGGTGACACATAAACCAGTATGGTTCCAATCACACTTTTGTAATCACCTTTGCAGGCTAACATCATCTCATTTAATCCTCAGAGAAATCCTGGAGTAGCTAGATAGGACAGTGGTCAGCAAACTCATTAGTCAACAGAGCCAAATATCAACAGTACAACGATTGAAATTTCTTTTGAGAGCCAGATTTTTTAAACTTAAACTATATAGGTAAGTACATTGTTATAACTTAAGTAGGGTACTCCTAAGGCTTAGGAAGAGCCACACTCAAGGGGCCAAAGAACCGCATGTGGCTCGCGAGCCGCAGTTTGCTGACCACGGAGATAGGAGAATCAGTGGAATCCTATTTTCTTTTCATTAGCCAGAAAACGGAGATTTAGAAAGCTTAGAAACTTGACCCAACTGAAAAGAAGAAATGGTGGAACTTGAAAATGACTTCAGGTTTTCTCACTGCACAGAATATAGTCAAACACTGTTGCAGTTTAATAATCTGCTTTGTGTTGAAATTTACTGCTGTGTTGCTGACAATTACCTGAAAAAGAAGTTGGAGTGCTTCACTGGGCTGGAAAAAGTTTAGCTACATCAGAAAGCAGGTCTAATTAAGTTTATTCTATATATGTAAAAGGCTAAGTTGATTCTTGCGTGCATGATACATATAAAGCTCTTGCTGGTGCCAATTGCATGCATGTTTCAATCTGTCATTGTCGATCGTGAATTTGGTTGACACTTCTATTATAGAGAAAGGACGAATAGCAATATTAAAATATTTCTTCTAATTCCCTTTCAATGTGCACGAATCCATGCACTGGGCCATTAGTAATGTTATAAAATCCCATCAAATGTCCTCTATCAGGTTCTGACATTTGCACCTGCACCAGCCTGTAGTGGATGGATGTGCTTATTTCCCCACAGCCTCTCCAACACAATTTCAACTGCTTTCTTGACAGAACTGTGGTAACTCCATGTCATTTGTTGTTGTTGTTAATCCTCTCCTGAGGATATTTGTTCCATTGCTTTGCATAGAGTGGAAGGGAGGGATAGAGGGAGAAGGAAGGAGAGAGAGTGAGAGACATTGACTGGTGGCCCCTGGCCCACACACACCACACAGGGATGGGGAGCACACTACTACCCAGGTATGTGCCCTTGAGGAGGGAATATGCTAATTGACTGCCCCACCCTCAAAGATGGCAGCGCCCACAGCCAATAAGGAGGGAATATGCTAATTGACTGCCACGTTCTCAAAGATGGCGGCGCCCAGTCCCCTCAGCTCCACAGAGGCAGCAGGCAGCCACGCACATGCCTCCGGAGTCCCCCAGTCCCCTCAGCCCTTAGCCACCCAGGGCCGCCCGAGGCTCAGGTAACCAGGTCCGCCCGAGGCTTGTGCTGCCAGCAGTGGCAGCATATTTCCGAACCATGACTTCCTGGTTGGAGGGAGAAGGGGGATGGAGTTGAACCAGGAGTTGAACCCAAGACACTTTGGTCTGCGGGTGGGTGCTCTAATCACTTAACAACACCAGCCATGGCTTCATGTAATTCTTTTTTTAAAAAATATATTTTATTGATTTTTTACAGAGAGGAAGGGAGAGGGATAGCAAGTTAGAAACATCGATGAGAGAGAAACATCGATCAGCTGCCTCCTGCACACCTCCTACTGGGGATGTGCCCACAACCAAGGTACATGCCCTTGACCGGAATCGAACCTGGGACCCTTTTCAGTTCGCAGGCCGATGCTCTATCCACTAAGCCAAACCAGTTAGGGCTTCATGTAATTCTTAATGTGCATTTCCCTTATTCTCAGTGAGGTTTGGGTTCCCAGTGAGGTTTGGAATCTATTCTTCATTCCCACCTTTTTAAAAAAATATTTTAAACTTGATTTTTAGAAAGGGAGGGAATGAGAGAAGCCTTGATGTGAGATAGCTGCCTCCTGCACACCCCCTACCAGGGATGGAGCCTGAAACCCAGCATACACCCTGACCAGGAATCAAACTGGCAACCTTTTGTGCACGGGAAAAAGCCCAACCAACTGAGCTACACTGGCCAGGGCCACTCCTACCTTCTTGAAATCCTGTCTTCCTATAGCTTTGTTGGTCTCATTTTACTAATTTTCAAGTTAGTTTTAGTTCATACAAATAATAATAATACAATGATGATTAACAGCCAACACTAATGAAGTAGGTGTTTGTGTGTGCCAGGTGTCTGCTACGCTCTACCCTGTCATTGCATCTTTTGACCTTCTGAGTACAATGAGGTGGGTATTACTTTCATACCCATTTTATGAATGAAGAAAATGAGGCAGAGTAATTTACTGGCTTGCTCATGGTCACATGGCCAATAATTAAGGAACAGGAATTGAAATCGAGTCCTGTGTGAGCCCTGTGAAGTCAACCTCTTATACAACTTCTTTTTCTGTAGGAGAAGGCAGTATTAGGAATTGTAGGACAGAGAAGGGTGGAAAGGATACAGCCAGGAAAACCTGAGAGGGAGGATTCAGGGTCTGACACTTAGAAGTCAGGGGACTTTAGTCTGGTGATTGCCATTCTCTGAGTTTGTTTCTTAATCTTTAAATGGGGACAGAGCCCTGGCCAGTTTTGCTCAGTAGATAGAGTGTTGCTTTGCAGATTGAAGGGTCTTGGTTTCGATTCCAGTCACGGTCCATGTACCTTGGTTGCAGGCTTGACCCTTAGCCCTGGTTGGGGAACGTGTGAGAGGTGACCAATTGATGTGTCTCTCTCATTGATGATTCTCTCTTTCTGTCTTTCCCCCTCCCTTCCACTCTCTCTAAAAATCAATGGGAAAATATCCTTGGATGAGGTTTAAGAAAGGAGGAGGGGCAGAGGGGTCATTATGAAGTAAGTAGGGCTTGGCACACAGTAAATGCCCAAATATGTGCACGAATATATATGCAATAAATATTATGGAGCACCCACTCTGTGTCAGACACTGTTCTCACTGCTGGCAGCATAGCAGTGAACAAGCAGACAAAAATTCGTGCTCTGACCCAGCTGGTATTGCTCAATGGTTGAGCATCGACCTATGAACCAGGAAGTCATGGTTCGGAAATATGCTGCCACTGCTGGCAGCACAAGCCTCGGGCGGCCCTGGTTACCTGAGCCTCGGGCGGCCCTGGGTGGCTAAGGGCTGAGGGGACTGGGGGACTCCGGAGGCATGTGCGTGGCTGCCTGCTGCCTCTGTGGAGCTGAGGGGACTGGGCGCCGTCATCTTTGAGAACGTGGCAGTCAATTAGCATATTCCCTCCCTATTGGCTGTGGGCGCTGCCATCTTTGAGGGTGGGGCAGTCAATTAGCATATTTCCTCCTTACTGGCTGTGGGTGCCATCTTTACAATGGTGTGAGGGTCAATTAGCATATTCCCTCTTTATTAGATAGGATTATCCATGCCCAGAAGGGACAAGCAAAAAAATTATTAATGCATATCCTGTCTTATGTGGTGAGGAGTGCTGAAGAATAGAGAGCAGGGAAGGAGAGGAGTTGGAAGGTGAATTTAAATAGGGTTGGCCTGACCAGCATGGCTCAGTGGTTGAACATTGACCCATGAACCAATTCCCGGTCAGGGCACATGCCTGAGTTTGGGGCTCAATCCCCAGTGGGGGGTGTGCAGGAGGCAGCCAATCAATGATTCGCTCTCATCATTGATGTTTCTATCTCTCCCTCCCTCCCTCTCTGAAATCAATAAAAAAATTTTTAAAATATATATATTTATTGATTTCAGAGAGGGAGAGGGAGAAATAGAAACATCAACGATGAGAATCACTGATTGGTTGCTTCCTGCCTGCCCCCTACTGGGGATCAAGCCTACAATCCAGGCAAGTACCCTTAACCAGAATCAAATCTGGGACCCTTCAGTTCGCAGGCCGATGCTCCAACCACTCAGCAAACCAGCTAGGCAATAAAAAATAATTTTAAAAATTTCTTAAGCCCTAACTGGTTTGGCTCAGTGGATAGAGCGTCAGCCTGCGGACTGAAGCATTCCAGGTTTGATTCCGGTCAAGGCATGTACCTTGGTTGCAGGCACATCCCCAGTAGGGAGTGTGCAGGAGGAAGCTGATTGATGTTTCTCTCTCATTGATGTTTCTAACTCTCTATCCCTCTCCCTTCCTCTCTGTAAAAAATCAATAAAATATATTTTAAAAATTTTTCTTAAAATAAAAACTAGAATGGTCAGGATCAGACTCACTGAAACGGTGACATTTGAGTTACGGCCTGAAAGACACGAGAAAGGAGCCATGATGGGAACTAAGAGCATTCATGCAGTGGAAATAATGAGCAAAGCCCCCGAGGTGGGAATGTGCCTGGATTGTTTGTGGCGCATGGGGTAGGTCAGTGTGGCTGGAGGGAATGAGGGAAGGAGCAGAAGATGAGGAGCTGGAGGTCAAAAGAGAGGTCCCCCAAGTCCTCTAGTTTGCTTTGAGAACTTTGGCTTTCATCTGAGCTAGAAGGGTGGGATGTGGAGCGAGGCGATCTCTTTCTATCACCAAGAGGTAAAGTAGGGTGTGGAAGTGGGGTGTAACCGAGGTTCAGTGGCATCGAGGTTTCTGTGCCATTTAGTGGGGAGGGCTAGGGGCGCCCTGAGGTCTCCCCTTGAGGAAGTGCTGGGAAGGAGACTTCAGCACGCTGGACAGCGCCTGCACGTTGCTTGGAGACCAGGGAAGCGGCCTAGATCGGGGTGGAGCGCACGAAGGCGCCCTATTAGAAGCTGCGCTCATGGCCCTTTTGGAAGCTGCAGCTGCGTCCATATAGCTACTGCGGTCAAAAGGAGTACAGAGGGAGTTTTCCTTGGTCGCTGTTCTGTCCATAACTGATCTGCAACATTTCAGGAAAACAGTTCAAAAAAAGAGGCGGCGCACTGTGAGCACCCTATGGGAAAGTGGCAGGGCGGGGCCTAGAAAAGGTCCTATTAAAATTGCTTGTGATGACACAGAGGGGGCGTCACTGGGCAGGGCCTGTGAAAGGCTTCTATTGGGACTGGGGCTGTTGATTGGGCATGGAAGAGGCGGGTGGTGTGTACCAGGCGGGTCTAGGCGTGTGTTTGCAGAAGTGGGGCTATGGCCGGTTTTTGCGCCCAAGAGGAGGCCCACGCATCATCACAGATGCATAATCAGGATTATAGGGGCGCTCAGTTCCCCCAATATCTTCCCCGAGGAGTCCCTCAAATTGGGTACTAGGTGGTTGGCCTTAAGAAGCTGGTACTTTGATGTCCCAGGACACATAAGTGCAGGAGTTGGATTTCTGGACACGGAACGGGGAATCCCTGAACTCTGAAGTGGGCTTTTCAGATACCTCTAACGTTGAAATAGGGGTCCCAGGTTTATCCATCTGGGGGTCGGGGGCACAACTGATATTTTTCCCTGCCCCCTCCCCAAGCCCAGCTGCCAAGAGGCTCAGTTTAGGTGTCGGCTTCTTGGGAGACAATGGGAAGACCAGGAACAGGACTTGGGACCTTTGGGTAATGACCTCGTGGCCACGTCCTCGCCATTCCTGCTTATGTCCCCCTCCCCCCACAGTGAGGGGAAGAACTGGGAGCCTGGGCTCCTCCCTTCCCTATATCCTGAGGCAAGGCAATGCCCCTTGCCAGGCCATTCTGCTGGTCTGGGACATTGTTTTAACCTATCTTGGGTCTGTGAGCTCTTCCTTTACCAAGTCCAGTGGACTCTGCCAACTAAGTCCCCCTGAACCTCACAGCTTGGATGTTCCAGAACTCGAGCCTCATTCCTGGTCTGTTGCCCTCATTCTCACCTCTCCCACACACCTATTCTCTGCCCAAGTCAAAAGGACTGCTCTGAAGCTTGACTTAACCTGGGGTCTTCCCAGTTCAGAATCCTTCCATAGCTCTCAATTATTGTCAGGATAAAGGTTAGAATTCCTCTGGCTGGCTGTCAAGGCTTTGCACTGGGTGCCCCTCCCTAACCTAGCAACATTTCTATCTTTTTGCAATCAAAAAGCTTCACCCACCTGAGTTCGGCTCCAACTGAAATTTTGTTGCCTCTGCATGGCATAGCTTTCTCTTTCCCTCCCCAACACACCCCTGATCTCAGTTCAAGCATCCTGTCTCACTTGAAACACAAAAGCCTTCCCTGACCCTTCCTGCCCATATGGAACAGGGTCCTCTTGGTGCCTAGAAGCACCATGAGGGCAGGGACCAACTCTGCTACCAAAGTTCCAGTACCCAGTGCAGGAGTGATACATAAACCAACATCTCATAAACACATGCTGAGTGAATCAAACAATGAACACAGGAAGTTTCCATTTATTCTGGAATGGGTTAGAATAAGCATCTGGGCCAAAAAGGCTTGCAGCAAAGAGCACACAGACTGAATCTCAGCTGACAGCCCAGCTGTACAGGGCCAGGCCTCAGGGGCAGAGCAGGCCCTGCTGACCACACAAGAATGGTCAACAGGCTAAGGGAGACGAATGCTCTGCCAGGGTAGTTGGGCAGCTAGGTGGTAACTTCCAGGTCAGACTGGAACCTAGCCCAGAGGGACATGAGGCCCAGTGACTGCCAATCTAGAGAGGTAGAATCCTGGATCTGTATCCTATTACTACTCAGAGGTCCCCTTTGGTCCCAAGTCACCAATCCCCACTAACCCCCGTGCCATCAGTCCAAAATTCTGGAAAGGGCCTGCCTCCCCGCCCCCCCTGAAAACACATTGGCCCACCATGCCCGTGTCTATCTGTCCCACCAGTGGTTTGGTCTCCTTTCCTGAGCCCTCTGGAGTGTTGTGTCCAGTCCCAGAGCACTGACACCCCCCAGCCTATTCACCAAGCACCGTCTGACCAACTCGCTGAGTAAGCATGTGGGTAGCTGGTCCTTCCTGCTCATGTTCCTGGTGATCTTTGCTGGTGACTGAAAGATGACACTGTCCTCCAGCAATATATGGGTCAAAGCATCTCCCCCATAGGCCAGCTCTGTTGCCCACTATGGCCCTGGCTGATGAGTTGGAGCAGCAGCTCAGTGAGGGCCTTCTCTAGGCTGGCTTCCTGGGCTTGGAGGGTAACAGGCCTGGGAAGGCCTTGGTCAGCTTTGAGTGGGTGATGCCCCAGCAAGGCCTTCACGCTCAAGGTGGGTTCACATCTTCCTGAGCCCAGCCTCCTGGAATAGCAGGTCCTGAGGGCTGGGATATTGCAGTTGGCCTCAGGCATCACCGGGCTATCAGCACCAATGAGGTCCCCAAGTAGCACTAAGGTGCCAAGGGATCTAGACTCATGAGCTGTCCCCTCAGGACAGATACCCACCACTGTTGCAATGCTGCTGCTGGCTCAGTGTTGTCCAGACCTGACCATGGTGATCCTGGCTGTAGCTGAAGCTCCCAGGGTTGTGCCAGCAGCCCAGTGAGTGAAACCTTCATCCAACCCTATTGTGGGCTGAAAAGTGTCTCCCAAAAGATATGTCCACATCCTAACCATTGATGCCTGTGAATGTGACTGACTGTAGTTACAGGGTCTCTGTAGATATAAGGATCTTGAAATATCATCATCCTGGACTAGAGTGGGCCCTAATTCCAATGATTTGTGTCTTTGTAACAAAGAGGAAGATCTGAGACATAGACTCATATTCATACATTGGAATATGGTAGTGGTCTCTGGGAAACTGATGTGAGGAGACCTGTGTTGACAAGAAAGGTCCAGAGTTCGAAGGCATTTGGCAGTTGGGGCCAAGGGGTTCCTCCCTTAGGATTTCTGAGTGATGTAGACTCTGTTCAAAGCCTGTATCCTGTCATCACAAACACAAGGTCCCAATGATGTCACATGGGTCTTTTCCCAGCCCCTGCACACGTCTGGGAGAGGAGCTGGGGTGGATATCCACCCTCAAGCCTCTTGTACACATACTTTAGGCACCTCAGGCTGACCAAAATGTTCACACTGTTGGCCACCTCTTGAATGGATTTCACAGGGCCCCTCTCCCCGACCTGGATCACTTGGTATCTAGGACCTCCTCTGCTGCAGCAGAGGGCAAACATTTTCCAATGTTTTCTTTTTTAGTGCAGAATACCTTTTATCACCTCTCCAAGAAAGCAAGTCTTCATCCTTTGAAGGCACACTGGAGTTTCTGCCTCGGCTGAGTGATCCTGCATCAAGAATGGGTTGCACTTCTCCCAGTAGCCATGGTTAACAAGCATGGGAGGACAAAGAGCTTAGGCTGTGAACAGTGCCAGGGTCTGAGAGGGTGAAGAGGCAGCAAGTCGACAGGGGTCCCTGCAGAGGGCAGTCCAGGCCCTGTCTGCCCACAGGGCTCTTCCCAGACAGGCCACCCCCAGAGGTGAGAAGGGCTGCTCGGGGGAGGGTTCCTCCACCTCCACACTGATGTGTAAGTGTAGACTGTTCTGCAGCATTGGCTTCTAACCACTATGTGACAATGTCTCCCAAGCACTACAAAACTGCCTGCGATTGAGAACAGTGCTCCAGAGAAACCCACTGCAAAGAAGCCCACCTGTGCGCGCTGTGAATTTCTCGGTAGGGGTGCCACAGAGCGCCACCCCAACATAGATGGTTCCATCTGGGGGTGCCTCAGTCAAATTTCAACCAGGCTTTTTCAAATTAGGTTCTATGTACCAAACTTAATCCATGGTGACTTCAAATTGCACTTACACTACATCCAGAATTCATGGAGCATAAAACAAAGCATGCTCAGCTGTGGGAGCATGGGCCGCTAGGCTGCTATGCAGACACTCGGGGCTGTGGAGTTCGCTAGGACATAGGGGCTACAAGACTCCAGCTAACTGGTGGCTGGCCCTGACCAACTCAGTCAAGATGGCATAAGCCTGGAGTAGCCACTATACCCTCTCTGGTGAACAGGGACCATCCTGCCACACGTGCTCCACTTTCCAGTGCTGGAAACAGAGTGGAGGAACCTAAACCTGTCCATTGCACTCCTGGAGGGTCAGACACCCAGGCCTACGACGGCGCAGTTTTTTTTCTTTTTTTATTTGTCTACATTCAGTTGAATTCAAATGTACTGCCTGAATGATCCAGACATACAAAAACCCCACTCTTTCCCACTGTTTTTTAAAATAAAATCTTCACTTATAAAACTGAAACACTAAAGCATTAAAATACAGAAAGCTCGTTTAACTCACTTCACAAAAGCATTAACAGATGAGGTATCCCTTCTGTAACTATTTCAAGACAAACTGAGTTAACACTAACACCAATTGTAAATAGACAGAGGGATACTGAACTGTAAGAACTCAGAAAACTCTACTCGGACAAAGTTGTAATGGCAACTAACAAACCACTGAAGATGTGGAGTCCCAAACACGGCTAAATATGGGTCACAGAACGGGTCACAAAGTGACCAGCTGCACCTCACAACACAGCAACGTGGACAGGGTAGGGCAAGAGGACCCAGAGGGGCCGCAGACATGTTAACTGTGATGCATAAAACTGAATCTTACAACGAGGAGGGGTAAGTGCAGAAGGTACAAATCTTCACCCTCAGGGCTTTATCTGTACTGGTAGTTCATGCTGTGGTCTGCGTTCCTGCCGTAGCCTCCCTGTGATGACTGGTACGAGCTGGGAGGGCCGCAGTAATTCTGGCTGGACCCCGGGGAGTTGTAGTTCGATTGTGATGAGTAGCCTCCTGAGGGAAAGAGGGGGTGGGGATCAGCCCAGTCACAAAGGTGTCAGCAGTGGAAGCTCTAACTGGGGCTAAGCTCCAGGCTCTTGTGTGGCTGTCGTATTGCCAGCATTTCTTCATGGAGGTGCCAAAATTTAGGGTACGATAATTCCTGGACCTCTGGTTCTAAAAGCCAAGAAACTAAAGGCACGCCTACGTTGGTGCTCGCATAGGGCCCCATATGCCCCGTCTCCTGCTTTCTGTTCCTGCCCCACACAGAAGCCAAAAGGCAGCTGTCACTGTGGCCCTGCCCAGGCTATCTGCCCAAGCCAGGCCACACCTATCCTCACAGCCTCTGCCTCTGTGAGGACCCGCCTCCCCATGCTATGCCACCTGCTGCGCCAGGCCCACCTTGTTTGCCTTGGTACGAGGAGCCGCCCCCAGAACCTCCTCCGTAGCCCCCATGTGACCCTGGGTTGTACGACGACCCGCCTGAGCCGTAGCTGTTCCCGCCGCTTCGGCCTCCGCTACCACTGTAGTCTGGGAAAGAGAAGACAGTGTGGTTAAAGGGCCTTGTGCTGCAGCCCTGGACGTGGCAGGCCTTTGGCCAAGACCCTGGACCCTTGCAAATTTCCCTGTCTTGACTGCTTAGATTTGGCACAGGTTAGTCTCACCACGAACTGCTTGGGGCTGGCCAGAATCCCACAAGGTCACCATGCCCGGGATTGTCCTGATCACCACATTCTGAAGCCAAGTTCCATCCCACTTTCCCACCTGCTCCTCCAACCTAAGTTTCCCAGCGGTTCAGTAATTGCAGAGCTGGCCCAAGTCCCGGCCCCTGCTACTGGGTGTCCCATCACAAACCACGGTACTCCTACCCTTCCCCAGTGGGGCCACTGACACAGTGCAGCCCACCGGTTCTGTACATGAGGCGGAGGGAGAGATGGAGCACAGAGTAACTCACGCTCTTATCGGGGCTGGATGCTCCACAGGTCACCTCGAAGTGGCTGGCCCAGACTCAGACTCCGCCCTCTGTGCCCCAGTCTCAACCCACAGCCTCAGGGGCCTAGCCTGGAGCCTCTGCCTCCAAGTTTGTCCCAATGCCCACCCTGAGGCCAATGCCTCCAACTTCCTTCCAGCCCCCCGCCAGAGGTGGGACAGTGTTGAGCTTTTGGGGGACTGGATGCCAACTCACTGAATTTGCTCTCGTAGCTGTAGTCGGAGCCGCCCCCGCCCCCGGGGGAGCTGTAGGAGTTGGAGTAGTAGTTGCCTTGGCCGTGACTATAGCCTTTCTGCTTGCCCTGTGGGGGGCCATAGTTGCTGTACTGGCTCTGGTTGTAGGACTGCTGCTGGCCTGGGTGGGGCTGGTAGCCTGAGCCGTAGGAGGGTTTCTGCTGGCCCCCGTGTGGCTGTTTCTTCCCGGCATGTTTCGGGGGCACTGGGGAGCTGTAGTTGTCACCTTGGTAGTAGGAGCCGTAGCCGGAGGAGCCACCACCGCCCCCGCCGCCGCCACTGCCAGCATTCCCAGAATGCCCTCCATTGCTGTAGAACTGACCTAAACAGGAAGGCATCCAGTCAGGTGGAGGCTCAGGTAAATGGAGTGGGAACAGAGGGGTAGGGAGGGAAGGTCAAAGCTGTGGGTCCTGAAGGCTGACCCAGGAGCCTGCTGCTCAGGTGGGGGCAGAGTGAGAGGCAGGAGAGCAAGGAGCAGCAGCTCCAGTCCCTAAAGCAGCCTGGTCTGGGCTGGCCCAGCCTTCAGCTCCACTCACCCATTAGCTGATGACAATGGATCTTTGCCAAGCAGCGGCACGGCAGCACGCTGAGAGCAGCTTTTGCAGCGGATGTCAACGTTACAATGAGATGGGCTCCAAGTGCAGGATGACATTCACAACTAGCTGATTGCTACCCAGATGTCCCCAACGATGACAGGAAAAGCAAAGCCCAGAGAAGCAACCAGCCCTCCCCTGCTGTGCTGGGAAGAGGCTTGGCAGTCACAGGCTTGGGTGACCCAAGGAAATGCTCTTTAACGAGGTCCCTGACATTGGTGTCATTCTTAGAAGACCAACTGCTCTGACCTAGTTCCAGAAGAACCAGGAATGGACACTTAAGCCAAATGTCCTGGGACTCCTTCCTGATGGGACTTATGCAAACACATGCCTTAGGAGCAATTCCACAGCCTCCAGGGGAAAGAAGACTAAGGCTGGGATCAGAAGATCCAAGTGGTCCCCCAGAGGGCACCTCATTGTTCCCAGCACAGCTGCTGGGCTCAGGCAGGACTGAGCAGCAGGATTGACAAGCGTGCAGCAAGCCGCCACATTCTCAGGCTCAAGGGCGGAGAATGTCACAGAGAGCTCCCCCACTTCTGGTCATTAGGCAAGGACCCCCCAGAACACTGTTTGTCAAGATATGGCTCCCAAAAGACACTCAAGTGGACCTGTGGGAGATGGGTCAGCTAAGGTGCGGGGAACAGGGAGAAGATGGGTCCTGTGGGTTGCTGTCCATCTGGCTGGGCAGTGTCCAGTGCTCCCGCAGGGGCAGTGGAGCTCCTGGGTTCCTAGAGCAGGTAGGCCTGGGTGTGCCTTTGCTGGTTAGTTCTGCCTCTGTCCACAGATGGTTGAGGCTGGTGCTTGGTCAGGTTGGCTATGCCCAGTGTAGGTAGGAGAGGGAGGGGACGCTGCCACGCAACCTGTCCCATTCCATGTAAGGGTCCCTCGTCTTTTGGGTGAATTTGGGAGTCCTCACCAGCCTTCCACCCACTGAAGATGTGCACCCCACAGTGGTGTGCCTTGGGTTGTTTGAACAGTAATTTGGATAGAACTGATCTCTGCTATGGGTTTATTTTCTTCAGGCGGGCAGTCTCCACCCTATACCAACACCCCCATCACAAAGCCAAGGACAAGGATGTGTCCCACAATGCAAGAGAGCAAACACAAGGAGGCCAGGACAGGAGGTCCTCTTCAAGTCCCCTCTTAGAACTCTGCCACATCAGCTGACCCTCGGCCTACACTGAGTGCCTGCCTCCTCACCCCTCCACAAGCACAGGAATGAATGAAGACGCCAAGTAGTTAGGGCTTGTTACTTTAACATGTATTGATTAAAAAAAAAAAAAAAAAGGAGGGGAAGTTTTCAACGTCATTCAGGATAACTATTTCCTGGTATAAAAAGACATTATTCTCAAACAATAACTTTCTAAAAAAAAATACATCATGCAAAGTTTTAAAAAGTTTCACTGAATGTTTCAAACCTCTGGGAACAAATTATGCAGTAACCGTTTTGACCAGTTTTTGCCTGAATAAACGCAAAATCTTGCAAGTCAACACAGAGGCAGGCTTTGCTGCAAAAAAGAACTGCTGACCAGAGATAAACCAGATTTGTTTCCAGGGACTCCCACCAGGAAATGGGGGCCTGAGTAAAGAGCCCAACCGCCTCTGTGTGCCTCTCCACACAGGGAGAAGCCACAACCTCAAGCCTGTACGTTAAGGTAAAAAGGGTGGAAGCTTCCAGGGCTTGTCGCAGCTGTGCGCCCAGCAGTGCAGGCCCTACTGAGGTAAAATTTTCACCGGAGAATTGAGCTACATATTAGGCTCTTTCCGCTTGATTATTTTTAAAAACTCCATTTAAGAAAATTCTAGAATTCCATTCATTTGCAACTGTAATCAGGACTTGCAAAATTCTGCATTATTGATCCCTTAAGCCTGTCTATTTCTTGCACTAAATGATGGAAGCACAGTTTTGATACCTTTGAGAGTTCACCTCTAGCTAAACCAGCCACAGAATGTCGCATCCCCCATCACCCACCAGAGCATTTACAAGAGGCAGGAAAGGTTAACTTTGCACAATATACAATTCCCCAATGTTCCCATTGTTTTACATGCTTATAAAAAAAAAAGAAAGAAAGAAAGAAAAGAAAAAAAAGTCGGTTGCTCTGGATTCAGATGTGGTGAAATAGTTTTCAGCACTATCAAAGGCATCAACCAGATTTGGGAATTTGTTAAAAGGTTAAAAATTCATACAAAACCTGCTGTAAATTAAGACAAAGGTAGATTAAAATGCATCATTATCTGTCTCTTAAATAAAGTAATGCTTTCCATAAAAAGCAAAGGTGGGCTTTTGCCTTGATGCTGACCAACGCTGGCTCTAGAATTCTGTGCAATTCTGCACAAAAAATGCATTCTCTGAAAATTGTTTTCCACTTATTGTTAACTTCAATATGACCAAGTTCAAAGGCAAATCACGATAAAAACTGCCATTGTCTTAAATTCTGCAGGCTAAGAGTTTCAGACAAGCTGCGGTGACAAGCCACGGTTGAGAAACCCAGTGAAGCACAGGGGCACAGCACGGACACTTTAGGTTTTGGAGTTCGAGAAAATTGGAGTAAAAAGTTGATTTTGTGTGCAATACTTTTAGATGCTCTAGGAAGACCCAAAATCATGATAGCCGTAGCAGTCTGTGAAAAAGTCACCTACAAAAGGGGGAGACAGAGCAGAGAAAAAAAATTAGAATTCTTTTGAAAAATGGCACAGAGCGCCACATTTGAAATTCATGTTTTAGATTTCTCTGCTCCTGTAACCCCCCAATGAAGGCTCCTTCTCAAGACAAGAGCTGTGCATTGTCAGGAAAAGTATATTCACAGATTGGTGCTTCGTTCACATGGCTTAAAGCAGAGAAATTTAAAATTTTTTACTTTTAAGGTACTTTCAAGTCATACAGTGTGTGTGTTAACATTTACAGAGTAAATCACACTTTTGCAGGATGGGGAGGGTGGGGGCCTTGAGGACCACCTGATCTAATCACCAAGGATGGGTGTGGGCCACCCTGACCTAACTCAGGCATGGGAGCTACACTGCAGCTTCTTCCCAAACTCAGACCAAGAGAAATACACACTTACTGTAGCCAGCTGTTGCCGAGTTGCCTCCATACCCATAGCTGCCATACCCAGCGCCTAGAAAGGAACCGACAGCGTTATCAGGGCTGGAGGCAGGTCTCCTCTGCATCTGCCTCTCCCAGCATCTCAGCTCAACCCTAGAGGGCCCACACACCCGAGAGAGCAAGACAGGCCCATGGGTATGGGACAAGGTTCCTCACCAGCATTCATGTAGTTTCCATGGTTGGCGCCACCAAATCCTCTTCCTCTACCCCGACCACGGATGCTCCCTCCTCTTCCCCGCCCTCGAAGGTTTGGGGGTGGGGGCACTTCGTTGTGCATGGGGCCTCCCATGCCAAAACCAGGGTTATGTGGCTGGACAGGAAAGAACAGACAAGTTACATTCGCCTCATTTTCAGATCACAGAAGAATCCATGCCAAGCTTAAGAGATTCAGGGGCAGCCAGTTACCTTAGCAGCAAATTTCAGTCCACCTCTGACAGGCACAGGTGCTCTCTTCTTCTTATTGGCTTCCAGGGAGAGAGGGGCATCAGGGAATAGCTTTTCTAGCGCAGCAAGGGCAGCATGTGCTTTTGCCACCTTTTTATTTGAGCCAGCACCTTGAAACTTCTGTCCATCTACCTCGACCTGAAAGAACAGACATGTGTCAGGGGTGATCGAAAACCTCCCAATGGGGCAAGGGGACTCTCCAAAGATTCCAGGCCTCCACAGGAACTGCTCCAGGATCACTCACCTCCATCACAAAGCGCTTGTCATGGCTGCCACCAGTCTCTGAGATGAGCTCATACTTGAGGCCACGCCTCTTCTCATTAAGTTCCATGACGGGGTTCTTGCCATGCTTGGTCAGAATCGGCCCCTGCTGTTTTATGTTCTCAGGGAAAAAGGAAAAAAACACACACACAAACCCAACACACTCAGCCAAGGGCTGTCCAACACGTGCTGTATAGCCACTACTGCATCACAGCCCTCCACTCCATGTATCCTGCTGTCCCACACCACCCTCGCCTCTGAAAATCACCTGTGAGCCTCCCAGCAATAAGATGACCTCCACCTGCACCCTCTTCTTCTGGGAAATGGCCTATCATTGACTGAGGGTCACCCCAGGACATCCCTGAGTGCTAGGTCAACATCAGCAAAGCCTTCTGGGTAGTAGCTCAAAGGCTCACATCCAGTTCCCCCTATAGGTTCCCAGACTGGAAGGTGACTCCTTTGCGAGAAAATGAGGAGGACCAGCAACCATCCAGGTTCACAGGACACAAGGCTGCCTGCACTACCCTGTTGTGCTATCCAGCGCCCACCATGGGCTCACCTCGGTAGTGGGATCCGCAGTAAAGGCAGCAGTGGGGGTCGAAGCGGCTTCTACCACAGGTGGAGGAGCCATGACAGCTGGCTTGGCCTCAGTTTCCTCAGCCGAGTCCTCCCCCTTACTGGAGTCTCTGCCTTCAGCACCGGTAGGCAAGCCCATATCCTGTAACACCTGGGAGGGAGATCCGCAAGGCCCCCGTGAGGGATGGGGCTCAGCACTGGGACACTATAAATCAGAAGCTCCGAGGGTGGTACCCAGCAATTTGCAGGGTGTTGCTTCCTTTAGCTCCCCACATGCCCAACCATGTGTGGACACCTTCCGCCTGTCAGCCATGCTGACAAAGGCATTCTTGCCACATGTGATTTGACGAACATTAAAAAACCTAACCATTTCATTGTTTGTATACCCTCCCTAAGCCTCATAGTGTTTGCAGCTAGAACTTAAATAGGAGACGACAGGTATGAAAAAATCCTAGATGAACAAAGTGCTTTTGCTGTCTAAAGGAAAAGCATACGTTGGATAATGCCACCAGCTACCGTACCTTAACAGCCACATGCAGCTTGGCAGTCTTTTTGGATGGTCCGGAGGCCTCGAATGAGCTGCCATCTACTTCCACAGACATGGTGAAGATGGGGGCATGGACCGGCCCCGCCTGGGAAACCAGTTTATACTGCAGCCCGGGCTTCAGCTGGTTCAGCCTCATCAGGGCATTCATAGCCTGGGGAGGCTCTGCCTTCTCCTCTAGAGAAAGACCACCAACATCACTCTGGAACATCAGTCAGTTCTGAACCGGGGAGGGGATCACTTCTGATATGGGCTTTTGTAACGGGATATGACGGATTGGGCAGCTGCAAGGCCTTGTCTATGCTGTTCCCACGTACACGCCACTGCTGAGGTCACCAGTAGGGGCACACCCCCTCCCCACTTGTCTTCTGTACCCATATGATATACTTAACCATTTTAAAGACATCTTATATATGTCTGAAAAAATTCAGGTGTCTCCCTACTTTGTGATTAACCTTAAATGGAGACAGATGGAGGATAAAAAAGGCCTAGGAACAAATGCCGGTACCTTTCTTCTGAATCTTCTTCTTCTTTTTGCTGGGAGACTTTTCCTCTCCATCCTCCTCCATTGGGCGTTTCATTGGCGTAATGGCGTAGGTGGTACTGGGGGGGATTTGAACTGAAAGAGATCAGGACAGAAGTAGTTAAGAGACTAGTCTGGTGCTCTGTGAGGGGCTCACAAGGCCGCTGCCCAACTTGGAACCCTTGGCAGACTTACCCGTGTAGTCCACTGGGTTTTCATTCTTTGGTTTCTTGGGCATCTTAGAAGGCAGAGGGTCCATACCCAGGACTTTATGCAGCTGTCCAAATGCAGCAAGTCGCAGAGCATGCTGGAAAAGGGGAAGAGGAACAGGAACCTGACTCAGCCGCCCTGTGTGCCTGGCCAAGGTGTGTACGCTTGCTAATGCCTTCTGGAAGGGGCAGGAGCTGAGGGGTTGCTAATGGTCTCCCCTAAAATAGCAAGGGGTCCCCCAACAGCCAGGGGAGGGCCTGACTTCCAGGACCCAGCCTTGCTGTGGGGGAAGGCCAGCCTGTGACCACCCGCCTCAAGAGGAATACAGGAGACCCCAATCTGGGGACTGGTTGCCACACGGAGCCACGTGGTGGGCCTGCAAGGGAAGGACCCCTGGAAAAATCTAAACAGCAAATACATCTCCCCACTGAACTCGGTGTCTGAAAACAACACCCGAGCAGGCGGAGGAGCAGGCTACAACCACGCGTGGCACCAGGGGAAAGAAGCAGCCCAGATTGGGGCGCCCTGTATCAGGCACAATCCCTTCGCCTTCAGTCCCAACCTGAGCCTACTGTCCAGTGGCGACCCTGAGAATACCCAGTAATGGAACTAGAAGCCAGTGATTACAGACTGGGTAAGGGCTCACGGTGGCAATGGCGATGACTATACCTGCGCACTCTGTGTGATATCTTCCCGTTGCTGTCTGTCTAGATGCCCAATAGCATCAGTGGCTTCTTTTTCACAAGGGTCATAAATGCCAGAACCATCTGAAGGCAGGAAACAAGGAAGATATGCAGAGGATTATCCTTTAGTGTCTCGGAAGAGTTGTACTGGCTGAGGGAACCAGATGCGTTACCCCCCGCGCCCCATCCACACCCAGCTCTGGAAAACACGCTGAGCTCGGTGACCCACTCAGCATCCAGCCCATGAGAGAAATAATCCACATGTGTCTCAGAGCAAGGAGCTCACATGGGAGTGGGTCACCAGTGCCCCGGATCCGCCCTGAGTCACAGCTGCGGAGCCGGCACAGGGCTGGATATGATGGTGCAAGAGGGTAGTCACATGCTTTAGCCCTATGGGGACATGGAGCTGCTGCTGCCCTAACCCGGTCAGGGGACCCGCCAGGAAGTGGCCTCAGGGCCTTGATCCCTGTCCTTTTCCTGTAACTTGCAAAGCACAAGGCCCCAACCTGGCATCACGATGCCCGACGCCAGGCACTCCAGCACTCTCCGCAGGGCCTCGCCAGCACCCATGGGTCTGTTGGCTGTGCCGATGGACTTTTCACAGAGAAGCTCAAGGGGCTGAAAGGCAAGAGGGATAGTTAGCCCATGTCCAGGGGTGGGGGGTGGGGGTGGTTGGCCAATGCTGAGGAGCTGTCACTGTGTATATGTGAGGAGGGGCTAGCATGGAAAGTCACAGCCATTCAAGTTCACAAGTCAGGGCTAAGCCAAAGATAGGACACGTAGATCAGGGCTCAGCCAACTTTTCCTTAAAGGGCCAGACATTCAATCTTTTCAGCCACATTGGCCAGGAGGCCAAGTTAAAGTTATTTTGTAGGTACTTATATTTAAAATTACAAAAACATCCTTAAGTATGTGCTGTAAAACAGGCAGCTGGCCAGAATTGGCCTGTAGGCCTATTTGCTGACTGCTGGCCAAGAGTAGCCACAAAGGCTTCATCATGAAGCCGAGCATGTCACAGTATGTGCTAGCACCCTCCGTAGGCTAAGCTGTGTACCTCCTCAACAGTGATGGGGGTCCTGGTCTCACTTTCACCTTCCACCCAGGATGTGGCATACAGCAGTTGCTAAACAAGCAGCTAGGATGGGGACACATCAGCCACACCCCAAAGGGCCACTCTAGCCCAGATACCAGAAGATATTCCTGGGCTATGGAAGAAGGTCCCTGGTACACAATCCCCAGGTGGCCATAGCTAGAAGGTGCCTTACCCATCCTCTTAGAGGACCCCAGGTGGGCACTCGGGTGCACAGGTCCCTCAGGACCCGGATGACAATAACACAAGACTTCAGCCCATTGGCTCTGGCCTAGAGGAACAAAGCACAGGCTCTTTACACAAGGCACCTACCGGAACACAAGGCAAACATGAACAACACAAGTCTCAGGGTGCTACTTTGTCCAGGGTAAAGGATGAACATTCACAACCATCAAGTGTGTGGTTGGCAGTGATGCCACTGTGTGGACGATAATAATGTTACTCTTGGCACAAAGCAGCAGCAACCCACCTACTCAGTCACAAGCCTCCTTGGGGGACTGGCAATTGGTTTATGCGTGCTGCATTAGCAACTGCATGCCTGCAGGTGCTAAACTCTGCACGGCACTGGTCAACATTACTGAAACTTTACAGTGCAAGTTAGCCACGTTAAAACTTAGGAATTCTCTACCAAAAGACAAATAGAAGAACAAAATGCAAACCTGGAACCACTTGGCGTGTCGGAGGGACGCCAAGGCAGCAAGGCATTTCTGCCTGTCCAGGACGTCCGGGGGGTCGTTGACTGATAGCGTTTCTATTCATGGATGGAATAAGAAGACAAGGCACAGTTTGACCAAGGGGTTTCTGTCAGGTGGAAAGGGGATGTGGCAGCTTCCTAAAGAGCAGTGGAGGTTCCCAGAATCTCAAGTCATCTCTACCCTGGACCAGGGAAGGAGAAGCCTGAGTGTGTCAACTCTGCCCAGAGAGGAAATTGCAAAAATTGGAGGCCCCTCCAAAAAAAAACAAAAACAAAAAAAACCACGAAAATACAAGTGGGAAGTTACTCTACAAGGAATAATCCCATAGGGGAGGGAATAGATAGGTGGATCCTATCTTCTAATAGACTGTTACCATGCTTTCTCCCCGGCATCTCCCAATAAATTAGCTGTATTAAAATTTCCAATAGAGGAAAAAAAACCACACACACAAAAAAACCCTACAAAAAAACAAAAACAAAACAGTGGTGGGGGGGAGTCGAAATGAACTCCCTCTCTGCTTCCCACAACAGCCATCCCAAGGCATCTGCCGCAAAGGGGACCACCTCCACCCACCAGGCAGGACTGCCCTAGCCCCAGCCCTTGACAGAGAGAGTCCTGTTGGTCAAAGGTCCAGCTTCCCTAAACTGATAAACTAAAAGGGCTTTGGTAGTTGGATTCAGGTATCAGAACCAAAGGTAATCAAAGAACAGCAACAAGGGTGCTAAGTGTGAGCCCATGCTGCAGCAAAGCTGGTGTTTGTAGTTCTACCGTGTGCGTATCAGGGATTTGGATAAGGCCTGTTCCCTTAATTTGTGGTGTGATGTTTGTGATAAAAAAATTCACACAAGAGGGAAGCCCTGGGAGGACTCTGAGTTGTGAAAGCATTATTAGTGTCTGAACTTTTGTTTTTTGAAAAATCACACAACTGTTTAACTTTGTATCAGCTCTTTGCATTTCAATTACTGAGCTGATCAAAGCAGCCAATGGAAGGAAGACAAATGAAGAAGCCCTCAGTTCTGCTGCACCACAAGCTGCTAGTACAACTCCATCATGATGTTTACGCAGAAGCCATATGGTTGTCTCCCATAATTTAAAAAAACTGTAACATCACCCTGGACATACTTTTTCAAGGCCACAGAAGAGAATGGCTCAATAGAAAAGCCAACTGTAACACTGATGACAGCATTCAAGGATTAAGACAAACCAAAATGGTGCAATCCTCTGAAAAGTGCTACTCACTTTTAGTGCAACTGTTTGATCAAACTCCCCAGTACCAAAACAGGAGATGTGATCTCAGAGTAAAAGTGGGCAAAGCTACACCAGTATCCTTTTATCAACGAAGCCTAAAACTGAATAGCACATTTGAGTAGTGAGGGAACACCAAGTTTCCAAAGTCCTGCTGGCCTTCTCAGCCTCCCTACCTCCAGCTAATACTTTCTCCATTTCTTCTCTGACAACGGGGGATGTCAGGTGGATAGTCAGGGACAATGGAGGCTCTTTTGTATTTTTTATCACTATCGCAGCATCATCGACAGATTGGAGTATTTCGTACTTATCTTCTGTAACAGCCTAAAAAAAGAAAATGCAATTTTCAAAATACTTTCTCAAGGGAATCCACACTTCTAGTTAGCCCCACTGGTTGTTGCAGAAAACAGGCCAATGTCTTGGGGTGTGATGGACAGCAGGCCCTTCATCTAGGGGGTCAGGACCTCCCTCTAATTGGCAAGGTCTATGGCTATTTTCCAGTACTTCATAGACAAAGATGTCATTTTTCACAGGAAGCTTCATAATGCAACATGCAAGAGTTTAGGGCCTGAGAGCGTGAATCCTCCTTTTGTCATTTGCTAGTTGCGTGACTTTAGACAAATCACTTAATCTCATTATGACTCCTATTTCTAGCCCTGGCAGGTGTGGTTCTGTTGGTTGGGCGTTGTCCTGTGCACTGAAAGGTTGCTGAGTTGATTCCTGGGTCAGGGCACATTGATGTTTCTCTCTCTCTAAAAATATCAATAAGTCTTAAAAAACTCCCAAAACATTGTGGCTTCTAATTTGTAAAATGGACTTAATGACATGACCTACGCCACAAGGCTGCAGGAGGCTTAAACTGGACTCTGGATGGAAAGCTCAGCGCGCAGCACAAAGTGAGCATCTAGGAACTATTTCCACACCGGGATGAGCAGCCACCAATGTGTGGAGTGAAAACGATGTGCAGTAAAATAGTTTGTCGTGTGGTGCATATTAAAGCACGTACTCACTGCAAATGCATGTCTCTATAAGGATGGTCACAATGGTCTGACTCTGTTTTTTTAATACCAGTTTACATGCCTTGATGAAGGAAAGTCAAGCTTTTATTATTTTTTAAAGGGAAACAAAGTAAGTTTCAAATGTAGGGAAGACAACTGTACTTCCAAAAATCTAAACTGGGGGTTTTGCTCCTCCGCAGTACTGGCCTTCAGGCCGGATCATTCTGAGAGTGGGTCTGTCTTGTGCATTGTAGGGTGATGAGCAGCATACCGCCACCCTCTACCCAATAGATGCCAGTAGCACTCTACTCTTCACACTGTGACAACCAAAACTGTCCCCAGAAACTACCATATGTCTCCTGGGTGTGTGTGCGTGCAAATTTGCCGGTCAAAAACAAAACAAACAACAACAAAAAACCCATTCATCCAGAGATGAGACAGGAGGAGGAGCAGACTTGAAGTATGAAAGTGATTCCATCCAAGGTTTCTGGCTTTGAAGATGAGGGAAGCCTCAGTAATGGAATACAGCAGTGGCCTATAGGTGCTGGGAATGACCCTCGGCTAACACAACCAGCAAGAAGGCAAGAAACTTAGTCCTACCACTACAAGGAACTGAATTATGTCAACAACCTGAATGAACAGGATAGTTTCTCCTCTACAGCCTGATTTTGGCCCACAGAGACCTACACAGGACTTCTGACCTCCAGAACTGAAAGATAATATATCTGTGTTGTTTTAAACAAAACAAAACAAAAACAAAACAAAAAAGCCACAACCCACCAATCTAAATAGATAAAAATGTAGTTTATTTGCATCTTTCTCTAAAACCCACTCTTTATATATAAAAAAAGTTGTCCTTCTGCTCAGTTGGTTGAGCATCATCCCATGCACTGAAGGTAATGCTGGTTCACATCAATGTTTCCCTTTCACACTGATGTCTCTCTCTCCCCCCACCCTCTAAAAAATCAGTAAGAAAAAAAAAAAGTCCTTCCTTCAGAAACATTTTCATCAGCTTAATTTTCTTCAATTAATATGCTTTTAATAGACAAGGATAAAATTAACTTAAAATTACTTACTATTAAAACAGAAAAGCTAGGGTTTCATCTTAAATAGCACCTCAGAATGACCTATTGTAGTGCATTAGCTTCACATTTCAATTCTGCCCTTTGTCCTGAATCCCAAATTGTCAGTCACAAGGGACAGAATGCAACCAACTGATGTTCCCTCTCACATCAATGCGCCCCCCCCCCCCAATCAATAAGCATATCGTAAGAATTTTAAAAAAAAGTGAATGGTATTTCTAAGGAATGAGTTTTACTTCTTTTGTTTTTGCTAATCCTGTCATTAAATCCAGGAGGCAGCCGGTTGCAGTGATGTGTGGAGGTTCTGAAGCTAGGGGTGCCGGTGTCTGTTACTCTTCCCAAACACCTTGTTGGATAAAGCCCTATCTACAAGGAGCATTGTGAAGATGAAATGATACATGTAAAATGTATGCCTGGCCCTGGCAGGGTGGCTCGGTTGGTTGGAGTGTTACCTTCTATACCAAATGATTGTGGGTTTGTTTCCTAGTCATTTGTAAGGTGTGGGTTCCATCCCCTGTAGGGACACATGCGGGAGGCAACCAACTGGTGTTTGTCTCCCTTTTCCTCTCTCTCTAAAAATCAAAAACATGCCCTGAGGCGAGGATTAAGGGAAAAAATAGGATCTGATTTTTAAAAAGGTTTCGATGATGTCAAAGTTTAGATCAGAGGGAAAGAGTTAATTATACTATCTATTCATCCATCCTCCCACCCAGCCATCCAATGGAGTCTGGATGTGAAATTCAAGCCTACTGAGGCCCTAGAACAGTGCAGCCTAGTATATGGTAGGTACTGGGTCCTTCCTCGAAGCCAGTGTCTGGGCACCACTGCAGTCACCCAGCCGTTGTCCTCAGATCCTAAGTGGCTCTGCAGCACCCTGTCCTTTCCCTATTGAGGTGTGAGCACAGCAGGTATAAGGATGGGTGTAGAGTATGTCTTTTGGCACATGTCACAGTTGGGCATCTCTTCCTCTGCCCCACCCAGTGGAGGTGGTCACACTCACAGTGAGCTGGATGGCCAGGTTGTCAGCCACCTTGTCCAGGAGGGCAGTTGTGGGTTTCTCCTTGCATAGCAGCACCAGCTCCAGGTCCAAGTCCCCCTTGAGCAGGAGGCCCTTTGCCACAAGGCCAACACGCATTACACCCCGCAGGGTTCTGGTCATATGCTCCGTCTTTTGCTCCCTGAAGGACAGATCAACGCATGCTATGTGAGGGATTCAGACTGGCCAGAACCCAGAAAGGCTGGAGTTTCTTCAGAAAGGAAATGCTCAACTCTAAACTAGTCAGTCTCCCTAGAAAGAAGAAAAACAAACAAAAAACCACAACAAAACCTCAAACTTACCCGGCCCCTTCTTTGCTCTCATCCTCTGGGGGCGCGTCCAAGTTCTCAGACTCGGCATGTTCACTGCTGCCTTTCTCCTGCTCATCAATCCAATCAGACACAGCTTTGAGCGCCCGCTCTGTGTGGGACACCATGTTCTGGACTGCCTCCAGTTCCTCTTGGGTTGGATAAACAGAAGAATGCTTTGCCATCACGTGGCGATCATCATTCACAAAAATTCGCAATGGACGCTGAAAATGTGAAAATTCAGTTAAAACCAATGTGAAGAGATCAAGCAACCCACCACTTACCTTTCAGGCTGCATAACTCATAACTATGCTTTTTGTGTGAAAATAAGACCACAGTAGCCCCCCCCCCCCCTTCTCCACGGAGGATACATTCCAAGACCCCCAGTGATGTCTGAAACTACGGATAGTACCAAACCCTATATATACTGTTTTTTCCCTATGCATACATACCTATGATAAAGTGTAATTTATAAATTTGGCACAGTAAGAGATTAACAACAAATAATATAATTTAACAATATACTGCAATAAAGGTTATGTAAATGTGGTATTTCTCTCTCTCTCTCTGAAAATATCTCACTGTACTGTACTATCGTTCCTTGTCTTCTTGTGAGGTGATGATGACAAAATGCCTACTTGATGAAGTGAGGTGAATCTGAATTGCTTATTTCTGGAATTTTCCATAATATTTAGCCTGCGGTTGACAAGGGGTAAGCAAAGCCAAGCCGTGGATGGTGAGGAATTAGTGTACAGGGGAGGACAAAAGTAGGTTTATAGATGTAATACAAATTAATAATACAATAATTAATAAATAACAGTACAAGAATAAACTGTGTTTCACATACAACTGTAAACCCATTTTTGCCCATCCCTGTATATGAACACTCAGAAAAGGACAACTAGACATAACAGTGGTTCTTTCTCTAGGCAGTAGGGGAAGGGGTCACTTATATTTCTATATTATTTGAATTGTTACACTATGTAGTAGAATTCAAGTTAAATGAAAAATAGAATCAAATATATTGAGGCAATACTACAAACATCTGTACATGTATGAAGAAATAGTACCTATGATTAAAGAAAAAGTTTCTTACCATTTTTACTTCTTTTTCTGTAGTGTCTGGAAATCAAATTTTGCTTATATTTTCAAATTGTGACAGATTTCCTTGGTGTTATCAATACTTCAGCTATCTATAAAATCAGAAAATCTTTTTAGTTTCAAATTTCATAGATGAATGAATTTTAGAGGACAGCAGCGCTGACTCATTAAGAAGCCCCATTAACACAGCAGGACACATCTTTATTTTCAAGTAATCACTGCTAAGCCAAGGTACAAATAACTAATTAATTATAAAGTTCCCTAAAAATGAAAAGAGCTGGCTTCTAGAAGCAAAATCTCACTTCAGGCCCACACTCAGATGATTTTTACTTCTTCTATCTTCTTTCATCATTTCTTATATAAAGTATGCCAATTTTTACAAATATAAAGGAAAAGATGGATTCTGGTCCTTAAGGGTAATGAAGAAATGGAAGAAGCAAGAGACAGGGCTCTAAAAGGATCCTATAAACTGGAAAGGCAAGAACCTTCTGAAATACCAGGTAGATGTGACCACTGCACCACAAAGACACACCTGTGGGTTCATCCTTGGAGAGGCTGAGACAACTGAAACGCACAACAGAAGTCTTCAAGACAAACACAGCTATAATTATAATTCTGACTACAACCTACTCAACCCCCACTCTGTGTGAACATTCTGGTCCACACAGAAATCTCCCAAATGAGTAAACAACAACAAAAAACCCGTCAGCACAACATGGAACAGATAAATATACCCATTGCATACAACCACCTAACAGCTAGCTCTGTCAATCTAAGCCAGTCACTAGCCAGGGCAGCAGGCTCATCCTGGAAAGGCACTCACTTTTAGGATAAATGTCAACATGATTGGCCAAAACAAGAATTCCCACAATGTTTTAGGGTTACCTAGTAACAGAACTGAAAATGTAAAGGTTCCACGCCTTGGCTATTGTGGCTCAGTTGGATGGAGCGTCATCCAGTGCACCCAAGGGTTTCAAGTTCAATTCCTGGTCAGCACACACACCTAGGTTGCAGGTATGGAAGGCAACTGACTGCTGTTTCTCCCTCTCCCTCTCTTATTTCCTCTGTCTCTCTCTTTCTAAAATAAATTTTTTTAAAAAGGGAGGATACAGCCAAAACCGGTTTGGCTCAGTGGATAGAGCGTCGGCCTGCGGACTGAAAGGTCCCGGGTTCGATTCCGGTCAAGGGCATATACCTGGGTTGCGGGCACATCCCCAGTGGGAGATGTGCAGGAGGCAGCTGATCGATGTTTCTCTCTCATGGATGTTTCTAACTCTATCTCTCTCCCTTCCTCTCTGTAAAAAATCAATAAAATATATATTTTTTAAAAAATAAAATAAAATGGGAGGATACAATCCAAACTTTATACTATTTAAAGAAAAAAATGTTTTAAATCACTTTTAATTCAATTTATTTGTAGGTTTTTTTGTTTCATTTTGTTAATCCTCACCTGAGGATATTTTTTCATTAGAGTAGAAGGGAGAGGGAGAGACAGAGAGAGAAATATTGATATGAGAGAGACACATTGATTGGTTGATTGCCTCCTGCACATGGCCCAACCAGGGCCGGGATTGAGCCTGCAACCGAGGTACGTGCCCTTGCCTAGAACTGAACCCAGGACCCTTTAGTCCCAGGGCTGACGCTCTATCCACTGAGCCAAACCAGCTAGGGCTAAAGAAAAAAATTTTAAGGTTCCAAATAACTTGAAAATCTAAGGAGGCCAAATGCCCCTGCAGCAAATACCAGGTGGGGTTCACAGGCTTCATGGTAAGGCACAAGTAGGAATGGGGAGTGAATGACCACTCCCTGGACTCAGCTTCTGGCTGTGCGTGGGCCCTTGATGAGCCACTAGGTCACTACCAAGTGGGAGCTTCTGCACAGACGTGAGCCTGAACCCTGCTTGCCCAGCCACTACCTGTGTGGTCTTGAGATTTCTCTGGAGCTTCCTTCTATGCCTGCAAAAAGGAAGCAACCCCTCTCTCTCTGCAGGAGAATTGTGAAGTGAGTATGTCAACCCAAGGAAAGCGTGAAGCTGCATCTACACCACCACGCTGCTGTGGAAGCCTAGCGCTAGTGACATGCATGCAAAAATGCATTCTGTAGTAATAATGAATTATCACTATTCAGTTAGAGACAAATGATATTGTGGTTGTGTTTGAAAAGAATGTTTTTACCTATTAGATACACATTGAGAAAATTTTATGGTTGAAAGTATATGCCTGATATTTGCTCTTAAATACTCCAATGAGGCAGAGGATAAAAGAAGATTGCAAAATGTTGATAACTGTTGACGCTAGGGGATGGGTATATTGGAATTCATTTGTGCATGTTTAAAAATTTCCTTTTTGTTAAATGCATAAGCAGTCTTACAAAAGTGCAGCCATGGCAGGTAATCTAAAAATCAAACCAAAGCTCAGAAAACTAATTCTAAACTACCAAGAAACAGAAATCATAGCTTAATGGTGAGGACCAGTGTTAAAAAAACCACCACTCCTAGCCATATCTGTGCTGTAACTTCATCAATCTGATAAAGAAGGCTGGTGTTTAAAAGCATATTTGTTCAACACGTATTTAGTGTGCACCTTCTCCATGCCAGGCCACAGGCTAGCTGCTGGGACAGTGTTGGACACGGCCTGGAAGTCCCGTTCACTTGGACTTGGCCAGCTAGCAAACCCTGAAGGACAAACTCCCTCCCTCTAAACCTGATGAGGCTCAGGAGCAAATACTTCACCGTTTACCTATACCATCTACTCATCTCACATCCCTCCTCCAACACAAATACCAAATGTAGAGACTTTAAAAATAATAGTTTTCAAAAAATAAAGTTTCTAACCAAGGTTCCAGATGGCTGACCTTTTTATCCAGGGCTTTTGTAGGATTGATATTGTCTAAAACCTACTTAAAAGGAGCCCCTGGGAGAAGTGGCTGATTCAGCACCTGATACAGGAACTGTACCTGGGTGGGCCTGGGTCAAGCTGCAGTGTCAGAAACTGCTCAAGAGACTGATGCAGTCTTGTCCAAAGAACAAGAAGCCGACTTGTAAGGGCTCCGACTGGCTACATTTGGGGCAACTGAGTATCAATAAATAAATAGTTTCCTATATGAAGTTCTAGAACAGGTAATACTAATAAATGAGAAAAAATTCCGAACAGCTGTTGCTTCTGGTTTCAAGGAACACCTGGAAAGGGGCCCAAGGGCACTTTCTGGGTGTGTTGGTCATGATCTACATCTTGGTAGGGGTTGAGTGTATGCAGTGGTTAGAGTTCACTCAATGGTATATTCAAGACCTGTGGCCCGGCTGGTGTGGCTCAGCGGTTTAGCATCAAACTATGAACCAGGAGGTCAGGGTTCGATTCCTGGTCAGGGCACATGCCTGGGTTGCGGGCTCAAATCCCGTGTGAGGCGTAGGAGGCAGCTGATCAATGATTCTCTCTCATCACTGATGTCTCTCTCTCCCTTCCTCTCTGAAATCAATAAAAATATATACAAAAAAGACCTGTGCATTACTTCAAAAGAAAAAAAAGGACTGTACATAAATACTGGACTCTGGTTAATATTACAAGGGAAGCCCTGGCTGGTTTGGTTCAGTGGATAAAGTATCAGCCTGCGGACTGAAGGGTCTCAGGTTCAATTCTAGTCAAGGGCACATGCCTGGGTTGCAGGCTCAATCCCGTGTGGGGTGTGCAGGAGGCAGCCAATCAACGATTCTCTCTCATCATTGACGTTTCTATCCCTTTCCCTCTCCCTTCCTCTCTGAAATAAATAAAAATATATTTTAAAAAATGTATTACAAGGGAAGAGTTCAACTTTCTGCTTACTTTGAAGTGCACCATAAAAATAAAGTAGGCTGAAGGATGAACAGAACAGATTGATGGACAGATATGCGAAACAGTCAAATATCAATGGCAGAATCTAGGGTGCATATAGAGGTAGGCATTCACCGTAAAACTGTCACCTTTTGTGTATGTTTAAATTTTTCATAATAAGAATTTTCAAATACATAACTAAAATTCATTAAGCACACTGCATTTATAAAAATCCATAATGATAACTTAAAAAATTAGTAATAGCCTTGGCTGGTGTGGCTCAGTTGGATGGGCACTGTCCTGTGCAGAAAAAGGTTGCTAATTCAATTCCTGGTCAGGGGCATGCAGGAGATAGCTGATCTATGTTTCTCTCACATCGATGATTCTCTCTCAAAACCAATACAAAATTAAGTAATAATGATTGGCCACCACCAGATATGCCTACATTCCAACTCCATACTCTAAAAACTACTAACAATGTCAGGTGACGAACTGAGGTAAGCAGCCTAAAACTCCCCTTTTCCCACTGGGGAACAAGATATTCATTGTGTCAAAATATAAGTCCACGGAAAGTGCCACTCGACACCTACCCCCAAATGCACCCCTCTGCTGTATTCACCTCACCGTTTAAAACTCAAGAACCTGGGTGTGCCTCTGCTTCAACAGGCTGTGTCATTTGATCCTCCTCTGAGGGGATTCACTGGGCTATGGCTGGCTCTGACCACCAAGTTTGGCCCATCTGCAGTCCCTTCATCCCTGGCCCTCCTCCTTTAGACCAGGTCTTGGTGGTGATGCCTCCTGATTCAGGTGGACAAAGTGATTCACATGGACAAAGCAAGTAAAAGTACTAATTACCTGAACTAAAACAAACATTTAAAAACTGGAGTCAACACTCCTTTGCAGGGGGAAAAAAGAACTGGCCTTGCCCTGACTGGTTTGGCTCAGTGGATAGAACACTGACCTGCGGACTGAAAGGTCTCAGGTTCAATTCCGGTCAAGGGCATGTACCTTGGTTGCGGGCACATCCCCAGTAGGTGTGCAGGAGGCAGCTGATCGATGTTTCTAACTCTCTATCCCTCTCTCTTCCTCTCTGTAAAAAACCAATAAAATGCTAGCAGAGTACACACAAGAAGAAAAGTAACTGCACTAGATGATAAAGACTGGGGTGGACCTCTTTCTTAATGTCCAGTGTCCTTTGTCTTAAAATTTGGTGCAACATGTCAAAAAAAAAAATCAATAAAATGTATAAAAAAAAAGAACTGGCGTTGCTTGTCTCAGTGTGAACCCAGATCTGTCACCCAACCTAGCCTCTCAGAAGCCAGATGCTCTGGTCTTGAATACCAGGGAATCCATCTCATTAATGGACACAGGGGTCTTCTGGATGAGCAGAAACCTTTAAAAAAAATCGTAGACCCCTACCAATCTAACTTTAAACAAAAGCTGTGAAAGGCTGCACAAAGCCGTTCCTGCAACCTCATTTATGATTCAAACCTAGGCACAAGTGACACCTAATTGTTACCAGCCCAGCCTCTCTGAAAAAGAAACCAAAGGAAGGAAGAGTGGAGTAAAGAATCAGGATTTTTTTAAGAGAAAGAGGGAAGGAGCGGGGGGAGAGGGAGAGGGAGACAGACATTGGGTTGCTTCTGCATGCACCCCAATCGGGGATGGAACCTGAAACCTGGGTATGTGCCCTGATCAGGAACTGAACCAACCACCTTTTGGTGTATGGGACGATGCTCCAACCAGCTGAGCCACACCAGCTAGAGCAAGCATCAGGATTTTAAGCCTGACCTCTGTGTAGTTTGGGATGTTTTAACACAATAGAATCAGGTTTCTTTCTTTTGTTTTTGAAACCAGACCACCTATGGCATGCAGTTACAGAAGTTTAAACCACAAATCATGCTGACAATGTGATGATCATCTTTCTGACCTCTCACTAATTAGAATATGATGTTCATGGCATTTGCTATTGGAAAAGAAACATGCCCAAGTTAGCATGTGTGATTCAACAAATGTTTTTGTTGTTAATCCTTACCTGAGGATATCTTTTCCATCTATATCTAGAGAGTGGAAGGTGGGGGGAGGGAAAGACATGGATTTGAGAGACACACATCAGTTGGTTGCCTCCAGCACAAGCCCAGAGCAGGGCTGGGGATGGAACCTGCAACCCAGGCAACCCTGCCCCCAACCAGGAATCAAACCTACCATCCTTAGGTGTGTGAGATGATGCTCTAACCACTGAGCACACTGGCCAGGGAAGATCAACAAATGTTTGTATAATAAGCAGGTGTGGTGGGAACAGCCTAACAGGTATGGCCCCATCATTCTTCCAGAGTGGACCCACAACCCCACCTCCACGGTATTTCACAAAACCTAGCAGGTATCCTAAGGACTCTGGGGAATTGCCCTGAATTAGATGCTGGTCCTAGAGACTGAATTAGATTCTGAAATGTACAAGGACCCAAGCAAGCTCCTGGTTTCCTAACCTCTGGAGCTATCCTATCCCGGAGTGTCAAGTTAAATAATACAGAAGTGCTGTCCTTTAGTAACTCCTTAAAACGTTTAATATCACATCAAGGACACGGAAAATAATTTTACTTGGGGTGGTGAACACACAATACAATATATAGGTGATGTGTTATATAACTGTTACACCTGAAAGCTATAATTTTATTAACCAACGTCACCCCAATAAATAATTTAAACAAAGCAATCCAAAAGATACCAATCTAAAATGTGGCCATGGCCTGACCATTGTAGCTCAGTGGTTGAGCATCAACCTATGAACCAGGAGGTCATGGTTCAATTCCTGGTCAGGGCACATGCCTGGGTTTCAGGCACGATTCCCAGTAGGGAGCATGCAAGAGGCGGCTGATCAATGATTCTCTCTCATCATTGATGTTTTTATCTCCCTTCCTCTTTCTCGAAGAAATCAATAAACACATATTTAAAATAAATAAACAAAAAATGTGGCATGGACACCACTCCAAGAAATTAAGTCTAACAACAGTCTGAAGTCTAGTGCAATCGGCCAAGTTCTGTCTGCAACAGTGTTTTTATTGGTTCATAGAAAGGTAGAAAGTTAGGAATAAAGATTTTCAATGTAAAGGGCCATCCTTTAAGCTTAACTTACTTTCTGTATTTTCAGTGCTAAAATATCTTTTTTCTTATGAAAAGATGGAGATGGTGTATGGTAACTGGTTAAAAGGCATTTTTCTAGGAAAAATAAAAAGTTGGCCCGCCCTAGTCAATTTGGATCAGTGGATAGAGCATCGGCCCATGGAATGAAGGGTCTTGGGTTGGATTCCGGTTAAGGGCATGTACCTCAGTTGCAGGCTGGATCCCCAGCTCTGGTCAGGGCATGTGCGGGAGGCAGCCAATTGATGTATCTCTCTCACATGGATGTTTCTCTCTTTCTGTCTCTCCCCCTCCCTTCCAGTCTTAATATTTCTAGAAATTCCAACTGGTCTGAGAGAAGCAGGACCCCAGGCCCTCTGACACTGAAGAGCCCACAGGTCTTAGAAACAGAAACCCCATGTTTGTATCCACCTCAGTTCTCCAACCTGGCAGCTGTAGGACCTCCAGAAAAATCACTTGCCTCAAAGTTGCAAAGAGTAGGAATTAAAGGTGACAATATGGGAAAATTCCTTTTCAACTATAAAGCCACAAATACAATGTATTATGGGAGTAATTTCAACTATTCTTGGATGAACCAAGAGAAATGTAAAATCACAGCAGAAAGTTTAACATGACACCAAGTGAGAATTATCAAACCCTCTTTCCAACACATTCCAGGCAGCAAAGAGAGAGAAGAAAACAGCTTTGGAAATCTCCCACACCTGGGGGGGGGTGCAACTTGCCCACCTATCCCATGGGGAAGCTGTAGAGGATTTTTAAAAAATGTAACATACATTTTAATTTCTTCTCCCAAAAGTTTTTTTCCCACTAAGGAAAAAAAAAAAACGCCTGCCTGGTGGTGTGGCTCAGTGGTTGAGCATCCACCCATGAAGCAAGAGGTCAAGGCACATGCCCAGGTTGGCTCGATTTGGGGGTAGGGATGAAGGGGCGGCAGGGACACATGCAGGAGGCAGCCAATCAATGATTCTCTCCCATCACTGATGTTTATGTTTCTCTCTCTCTCTCTCTGAAATCAGTAAAAACACATTTAAGTAAAAGAAGAAAAATTTTAAAAAGACTGCTTCACAAAGGACATTAACACTCATATGTCAATTATTTTAGTAGGCAAGGGGGTACATTCATTTTTAATGAAAACTTTTCAGAAAATTGTAACTTCACCTGAAATTGTAAAAAGAGATTAAGTGTACTCTGTATCCAGTTTCCCCCAGTTGTAACATTTTGCAAACTATATAGTACAATATAACCACGATACTCATACTGAAACAGATACAGACTGTTGCTGTCACAAGGATCCCTCCTGTTGCCCTGTACAGTCACATTCACCTTCCAATTGCCCCCATGCCTAAACCCTAACAACTAATTCATTTAACTTTTCTGTAATTTTGGCATTCCAAGAATGTTTTATATAAACAAAATTGTAGAGATGTAAACATTCAGGATTGGCTTGTTTCATGCAGCACAACTGCCTCAAGATTCATGCAAGTTGTGTATGTATCAATAGTTGGCTCTTTTTTATTGCTAAGTAGTATTCCTTGGTATGGACAGACCTTTGTTTGTTTAACCATTTAGCAGCTGAAGAACATCTGTGGGGTATCCAGTTCTTGGCTATCCTATCTAATAAAAGGAATATGCAAATTAATCATCACTCCATCACAAAGATGGTGGCACCCATAGCCACAAGATTGTGGCACCCAGTACTCTCAGCCCCACTGGAGTCCCCCAGTCCCTCATCACTGTGGCAATGAGGCAAGTGTTCGGCGCCCAGCCGCAGATGGGCCTCTGGGCCGCAGAGCGCCTCTGGGCAGCGGGCGCGGAGCAGCCAGGCCCCACAGAGAGCTACTGGTGCATGGATTCATACACAGGGCTACTAGTCACAAATAAAGCTAAGAACATTTGTGTATTCATTTTTGTGTGAACATATATGTTCATTTCTTTGGGATAAATGCACAAGAGTCAAATTGCTGGATTATATGGTAGTTGCCTGCCAATTTTATGAAAAACTGCCTAAGTGTTTTTCAGAGCTGAAGCGTCACACTTTAAAAAACAAACTCGCCCTGGCCGGTTTGGCTCAGTGGATGGAGCGTTGGCCTGCGGATTGAAAGGTCCCAGGTTCGATTCCGGTTGGGGGCATGTACCTTGGTTGTGGGCACATCCCCAGTGGGGGGTGTGCTGGAGGCAGCTGATCGGTGTTTCTCATCGATGTTTCTAACTCTCTATCCCTCTCCCTTCCTCTCTGTGGAAAATCAATAAAATATATTAAAATCAGTTATCTTTAAAAATAAATAAATAAATAAACAAACTCGAGTCCAGCGGTGTGGCTCAATGGTTGACTGTTGACCCATAAATCAGGAGGTCAGGGCACATGCCTGGGTTGCAGGCTCTATCCCCAGTAGGGGGAGTGCAGGAGGCAGCCCATCGATGATTTTCTCTCTCATCATTGATGTTTCTATATCTTTCTCCCTTCCTCTCTCTGAAATCAATAAACATATTTAAAGTGAAAAACAAACTCAAGTAACTTCACCAAAATTGACTCAGTTCACCTTTTCTACACTCCTGTCAGTTCACACATCTGCTCTGTGAAGCTGTGGTCACTGGTGAGCTCTCACTGGGCAGCCCATAATTCTCCCTGTTTACTGGGCAACTATTTTCCCCTTCTGCAAGCATTCTGCACAGGTCATCCATAGGACAAATATTTATTAGGTGCTACTAAGAGCCATGGGACTGGGTCAATCATTGTCATACAAGTGTCCTCGTGCACACTGAAAGAAAATTAATTAGGAGGTGTCTGGCAGGGCAGGACTGAGGGAGATGGGCTGGACACGCCCTGCAGCCAACCTCCTGCAGTCCCTCCCTGTCCGACCGCACCTGGGGTGGCGCTGTGGCTCAAAAGGTGTCTGTGGAGTGAGTGGGGTCCCTCAGCCAGGCCTGCAGGGATTGGACTGAAACTGGCAGTCTGACATCCCCCAAGGGGCCCCGGAGTGCAAGAGGGCACTCTGCAAAGTTGCTGTGGTACAGGGTGTGGAACGCAAACATAAGTGTGCAGTAAACCAGACTCGGGGCCGACAGTGCCCCCAGCAATAACA